GGAAGTGTGGGAAGATTTTGAGAATTGGGTTCCATCCATCACGGCCGAATACGACCAGCTGGTCAAGACCAAAGAGGCAGTTGAGCAAATCACCACGCAAAGCCTTCGAGAACGTGCAGAAGCTCAAGGCAAGGTGATCGAGATCTTGCCTGCAATAATGGTGTACACCCGCAAAGCAACTTCAGGCGCCAGAAGAGCACGTGCAGTCTGTTGCGGGAACTACTCTGACTCCAGGTTCAGTGGCGACTGCTACGCTGGCGGCGCCGACGGGTGTCAAGTCAGGGCTTTGGTTCGTACAGCTGCCATCAAAGGGTGGACCCTAGCGGTAGCGGCTACAGACATCAGAGTCGCTTTCTTGAACGCCCCAAGAAGAGATGATGGAAAGCTAGTGGCCATGGAGATTTGCAGTGTGTACAAGCGTTTGGGCCTGGCGCGTGAAGTTTGGCTGGTTCAGCTGGCCATGTACGGCCTGACCACGTCACCGAGGGATTGGTCGCTGCATAGGGATCGCACTTTGCCTGCGGTCAGCTGGGTTCGGGCGAGAGAAGCAAACAACCAAGCAAAAAAGGTCAGAGGCCATCTCACCAAGACAGAAGACGAGAACCTATGGCGACTGGAAGAAGCTGACACCGAGACGGGGGAGGTTCACTGGACTGGCCTGATGTCGATCTATGTGGACGACATCCTCATCTCAGGGGAAGAGGAAACGGTGGCTGCAGCTCTGCAATCCTTGCAGGCGACCTGGACCACATCGAGTATAGAGTGGGTCGGCGGTCCACTACTGTGGTTTTGAGATCACCGCAGATGGAGCGGGCAATGGCGCCCACCTCTCCCAGAGTAAGTATGAGCAGGAGATTTTGGCTCGCTGGAATGTCACCGAGTCGACATCCTTTCCGAACTTCAAGGTCAGTGAAGCGGACCTGGAACCTCCGGATCAGGTGGACAAGAACCTGATCAGAGAAGCACAAGCTCTGGCTGGATCCTTGCTTTGGTTGTCAACCAGGTCCAGACCGGATTTGGCCTATGGCGTGGCGGCATTGAGCAGAATGGTCACTCGAAATCCGGCAAGATCCATTGAGATCGCTCACTCCCTCCTGGCCTATGTGAAGGGCGCGCCGGGCGACTTGCACTACCCTCGCTGGATTGAAGAAACGTGGGGGTCGAGTGGCCAGTTGAAGGTCCAGCGCCACAACAAGCTGTTGGAAGTTTTTGCCGACATTGCCTACGGCACTGGGGCCAATCGCCGAAGTGTTCAAGGTTTGGTGATTTGTTCTGGAGGTGCACCCATTGCATGGCAAAGTGGGGCACAACCTTTCGTCACCCATTCCACAGCAGAAGCAGAGTTGGTCTCCTATTGTGAAGGTCTTTGCACCGGCCGTGCTACAGAAGCTTTGCTATGCGCTATGTGGGGGGAGCCGCTCACGAAGGCAAACCCGTTTGAGAGGGTGATTTGTGGGGACAATGCAGCAGCCATCAGTCTCGCCCATGGCAACAGCGCCACATCCTGGAGAACAAGACACTTACGTGTCCGTGCCAACATCCTCAAGGAGGCCATTGATGAAGGTGGCAACTACCCAGGGGGCGTATGGAAGCTGTCTCACTTCTGGTCGCTGATGGCATGACGAAACTGGCTTCCTGGGAGACTTGGGCATGAAGGCGCCTGAACCGAAGATGGCAAAGATGAACCTTGGTCAAGGGCCTCTTTCAAACGCCGGCCAACAAACGGCTTTGAAGGCGGTGCTGGCTGGAGGCGCTCTGGTCCGGGCGGCTGAAGCGCATGGTGGTGGAGGTGAAGATCCCGACCCACTCTTCGGGAACCTATGGATCTGCGGCATAGTGCTGATCCTCATCGGGGCAATCTGGGTGAGTAAGGCAGCTTTCATGTCTTTGAGATGCTGCTTGAAGAGATTGCGTGGAGTTGTCAGCAGGCCACCGGTCCAAGAGGAGCCGTATGAGAGTGAGGAGGAGGAAAGGACTACACCACGGCGACCAAGGCGACAGAGGACGGAGGAGCAGCAACCTGTGGCACATGAAGATGAGTCTGCCACACCGACTGAGGAGGAGGAGACAGAAATGAGTGAAAAGCCTCAGCGTCAAGGGGTGAGCAGCCGGGAACAAACTATGACGCGGAGGAGGTCTTTGTCCAAGCCTATAAGGCGGCGATCGGGCTCTGCGAGCGGGTCTTCATCGAGAACGATGAGAAGAAGTTCAAGTGGGCCTGAATCCGCGGCAGCGCGAGCCGCCGGCGAGGCAGCTGAAGGTGCTGAAAGAGCGGCGGAGTCTGCGCAGATGGCAGCGGATGCAGCGACCCAAGCTGCTGAAAGCGCTGAAGCGGCCACTGAGATGCTTCGGGTGTTGGCGGGGCCGCAGGCCGCATCGATCCAAAGGATCGCAAATAGTGGTCCAAGAAATCCATGGAACCACTTTCAGCAAACCCATGCCAAAAGGGGCTGGAGTATGCAACAGATGCGCGCCGAGTACTACAAGGAGAAGAGCCAGCGTAAAGTGCTTTGAGCCTGGCGCTCCTTTTTCTTTGAAGAGTTTCGCCAGAGTGCGAAAGGGGGAGTCTGTTGCCGTGGTGATAGCATCATGGCATTCACGTGAGTACATACCGAAGGCACTTTTGATGTCAAGTGAAAAGGCGCGAACCCTTGTGTTTCAAGACAGTAATTGGTGCCCACTGAAAGGCTTGGGGAGCACTTGGCGTCGTGATAACTTTCGATAGGCCAGGCATGGTGCCTAGCGGCATGTAGCGGCGGCACCAGTAAGCTGCGAAGGAAACTCACTTGGTTCTTGGCCTCGGAGATTTCCCAGATGTGAACCATTCTTGCCAACAGCATCGTAGAAGGAACGCGGAAACACAAAACATGTGTTTGTACACGGTCTTGACATGACAAAGACACGTCACAACAAAAGTCCTCGAGACTTCTTTATGTAGTGTATATATATATATAAGGGGTATTGTTGTTACTTTTCAAACCCCCGCCGCGCTGTGGCTGAAAAAACAGTGAGAACCGCTCATGCACCATTGTCAGTTGAATGCTGATTGTGAAAGCCGTGCTATTTAGAAATGGTTCGGTGAATTTTGGCGTCCTGGTTCCAGATTGTTGGTTTAGAGCATCACTCACTAAAAGATACACAACATTTAGTGAAACATTATATATAGTGAGTTACTGATCAAGAAAGAAACAACACACACAGAAACTATTCATTCTGTTTGCCACATGTTTCCTTCCCCAGCATTTCCTCGAAAGGGGCCTGTCTCCTGGTTCCGTCTTACTGAGGCGTCCTATGCTGTGAAGGTCATGGAGATCGCCATTGAGACAGACCACACGGAGGATGACAAGAACCCCAAGGCCGACTGAGCCGACGGTCGGTGGATACCTGGTATGAGCAGTATTTGAGCAGTATTGATCGGTTGGCCTTCGGGTTGCGGGAAGCCTTATATTTATTTGTCACCAAGCAATGCGGAGGATGTATTGGACAAGTAATTGAAAGTTTGCCTTTGGGTTTTGGGGGCCCAAGTATTTTGGCCTCAGGTTTTAGAGAGGTGATTGAGAGTTGGGTTTTGCATGCATCAACTGACTAATGAGGCTTTACCAAAAAGGTTCCTTTGCTCAACTGACGTTGAACATCGGAATTCGGCGCGGATGGACTCCATGTCCAGTGACCAGTGGTTTGATTGGACGAGAGTACAGTAGTGACGAATGCACTGTAACCACCAGGAATTGCTTCACTCATGTGACGAAGTACTTTCTTGTGTTTGGATGTGGTCTTGAGATGTCTTGAGTGGCCTGAAATTTGCTACTAGTTACTAGTTTCATAGGAAGAAGATGGACCAAGCAGGTTGTCCTCACACCTTTGAATGGTCTTGAGATGTTTTGAGCTTGCACTCGGGCCAGGAAACCAATGCCTACAAGACCATGGAGCAGGAGGTCAGCGTGCTTCGAGCTTGCTCCTTAGGTTGAGAGGGTCAGGTGGCTGGTCGAAAGGGTTCCAGAATGATGCGAAAAATAAGCAACAAGCTTTTTTCACGCAGGGTTGTTCCTGCTCTGGCACAACAGCTAAAGACCTGATTGACGAGCGCACGCACGGCAAACATGATCATCGCAAAACATTCTACAGTAGTCTAGCAAGTCACAGCATGTTACTTGATGTCGCCACAGGTACAGGTACAGGTGCGTTTTCGTGTGAGGAAGCATGAGGCTCCCTTTTCGTATGCTGAGGATTGCATCAACTGCACTCAGATTGTTCAAGTCCATGGGGTGGAGGTGCCTGGCTATTTGGCAGTGTATGGATAGAGGTCTATTGCTTGGAAGGTGTGCTGTTGTCAAGCCAAGGATCGGACGGAACCGTTATCGAAGTCCTTAACCTTGAATTCTAGAATAATAGAATAATTCAAGTGTTCAAGAGAGGGCAGAGGCGCATAGTTTGGAATGGATCAGCAGCATGGCCAGGTCGTCTCCGTCGGAAACCAGCCTGCTCGACTGAATGTTGCCGGAATCTTGGTGGGGCCAAAGGCCACTTCCTTCAAAAGTGCAGAATGGACATGAGGAAGTTGGGAGGACCTCTCACAACCCGTTGATACCCGGAATACGATCAAACAAAGTTATGTACACGGAAGACCAAGTGATCAAACACAATGAAGAACGCTCTTCCATAAGACAGTTGGGCCTGGGGCCCGGCTTGAATCGAACCCATTCAACACCCGCGGTTCAAGCATCTGCTGAGATTGACAGAAGTGCAAGCAGAGACTTAGGAATCACCAACCACAGACGTTTTTCCAAATCAGCTGACTCTCAACCCTATTGCAGAAGGCAGACGATGTTTACACCGAGAAACTGACCAAGTTTCACCTAATATAAACTCGCAACATGTTTTCCTCAGCTGAGAAAAGCCAGATTTTTCCGTTCAACGTTTGAACATGACTGAACCTTTAAATACAAGTGACTGTTGCGCTGTTGCGCATCAAGGAGAACAAGCTGCATTGCAGAAAGTGGAAACAGTCCAAATATGACAATGCTGCGTTCTTTCCAAGCATAATGCTTGGCTAGTGATGGTGTCCAGTTGGCCAAATGCCTCCTGCTTGCTTGGGCTGGCTGGAGCAGGACCTTCCAACGAGCATCGAAACATGGATCCTCCAGTGACATGAGGCTGGACACGGCTACAGGATTCTGATATAATTATTCATCGAGGTGGTGCTTGCTTTCGATGAAGTTCCTAGCTCAGTGAAGCCCAACAAACCGGCAAACTCCTTCCAGGTCACAGGGGTGATTTTTTCCACGGCGATGGAGGAGCCACAGCGATGGAGGTGGCACCGCAGAACCTCTTCGTTTGGAATCCGCATTGGCAGTGCTTTGTGTCGGGCTGAGGGAACCTGACACAGCACAGCTGAGCAAGAGGAGAGATTGTGCTGAGCACGGCTTCTACCTTACTGGAATGATAAATGAAGCACAGCTTTTCATGTAGAGCCACGAGTTTAATCCGATTGGAGAGTGTGTGTGAACAAAGTAGGATCTCTGATGCTGCCATTGACAAGGTTTGGAACCAAAACGACTGTGCAGAAAACGTTGAGGAGGCGTTGAACATGTGGCTTGCTTCAGATTGAGAGATTGGTATTGCTCAGCAGCGATCCATTTTGAGCAAGGCTTCTATCCATTCTGAACCCGCGGTTCAAAGGAATTTACTTATGAAATATGCGGAGCTTGTTTGGACTCTATTCTCGGGGTCAGCTCGATTTGGACTTCTTTGCATTGGGGCAACCGGAGGACTTGGTGCATGACTCGAGCAGAATTCATTTTCCAGCAAACCAAAACCAAAGAAGACCACATTGGTCCACCGATGTCACAGTGCTTTCTTCATCGCCATCAGGAGGACGAGAGGACACCACGGTTTGTCGTGCTGAGTCACTCAGGTTCTTGGTGGCGTTCGATGTGGACCTGGCGGCCGTCATCGAACTCGATGATGCCAGTTACCAGAGCCCGTGCCATGGCAGAGTTTTAAGAGTTTAGCTTATGTTCCCTTGCCAGTGACTCTATCATGCTGAGTGCGTCATTTTGGAAGAGACAGTCTGATGCTTGGGCGTACAGTGAACAAATCATTGTCATAGTCCAAAATACGGTTTTCTTTCTTTTTGTGTGAGTACTGAAGTTTAGTGAACATTGCTCCGATGATTTTCCAATGATTTGTTTCCAGAGACAAGACTCTTGCGGACCTTGGCTAGCCCAGAACTGGATGACTTGCTTGCTTTTGATTGGGACGGATCATGGATCGACACCTTTTTTTGCCTATTCGGTTGCACGGCATGGGTCGCACGACATCAGGTCTGGCTGGGATTTCATCGTGGGTAAATGTGGCCACGACTTGGTGCACTTGTTTCTCAGCCACGAAGAGTTCTTGGAAAGTTCTCCAAGAGATATATGGGAGTGGGAGTTGACTTCCAATTGCTGAAACGACGAACATGAGCAAACACGAACAACTGTCAAAACAAGGAGTGGCATGAGATTAGACAAGGAACCCGATAGAAAAGGAGCCTTGACAACATGATGTATATGAAGATCATGCATCATATTGTCGTGTTGAAGTGAATCGCCCGGTCCACCTGGTCTTAAGGTTCTACAACACCTTGCGCAACTTGACTCCTATTGTCGTTCCAATGTCGAGCGCCCATTTGTGCCTTTTCAATTTGACCAGCACAAAGCAGTGAGTAATGTGACCGACGGTTTATTATCCCAGGACACATCCGGAATTTATCTAAAGATCCAAGAGGACATTGTTCTCAAATTGAAATCAGTTTCAACCCATGCAAAGGATTTGTGTATTCTGCCTACAAGCTTATTTGGACAGCACATGCATGTCGACCGTGCAGTGTAAGGCATAAGAAGTCCAATACTCCCCAGGCTAACAAAACCAGCATCCGCTTGCCATTTTATGCATGTTTTCAGCAAATGGCCGACCGAGGGTGGACGCCCAGTGGCCCACAATCGATACTCAGCTTGAGCGAGTGTTACTGCCACTGCTAGGTATTTCGCACTACTCCAGTCATGCCTTAGACATCCTTAGCCCCGGAGTCAACTTGGGGTGTGACCCTGCAAAACTCGTGACCAAATTGTTTGGGACTCAGGATCGGCTGCATGCAGACAGATCCCGGCGATCGACCGTGCCTGTGACTGCAGTGACCAGAATGCCGGTGTCATGTCGTGTACAGTCTTGTGTCTTTCCAAGTTCAAAGACTTGTCTCAAGCCCTCAAGAATGGTCGAAGCCACACGAAACAATCTCACAAAAATAGGCTGGTTGTGTGAGCCCAGCAAAACTCTTCCACTTAGTGCACATCGGAGGTTGTTCAACGTCGACCAACAATGCAATGCCGATGTACCGGTACTATGTACGCATCCAAGGTTTGTTATCCAGCAGTTTGTTGGTACCAGCGGCGACAAGGCGACTGGGCCAAGGTGTGTTGATCAACGGCACCTTCTTGCATTGTTATTTGTAACTTCGACAACAATTTAGGAACCACATGAATAGTGCACCTCTTCCTATAGCGGCCTCCCCCTCCCCGGGCTTATATAAAAGAGGACATTATCCGTTTCTTTTCGATTTCAATTTCGAGTCCTCCCATGACACAGAACGCCATCAACTTCAACCCAGCGCGACCTTGCAGGTGATTGCAGTGGCTGCTCACTTTCCACATCCCACCTTTTCAACGGAGGTTTCGGTGTACCTTGTTTTGTGGCTGTGCACTCTGCCTTTGGGAGACTTCAAGCTAGTGGTTCTAGATTTTGGACGATTGTGATGGAAGATCACAAAACAAAAAAGAACTCACATCCAAGAGGTCGACGAGCATCTTCTTTGTACCTCCTTTCAGTTGGACAAATGGATCATTTGCTTCATTGTGGAGGGGTTCCGCTTCTATCATTTCATGGGTTGAACACTCCCCAGCGAGTGAGGTATGTGCAAACCGCCCAAACGGAGCACCTGCGAACGGCCTTGGAAGCCGTGCGGCGAGAGAGTGGCATCGACAAGGCCTTTCAGCGCGGATTGGGCCAGATGGATTAAATGTTACTAGTAGCTTCTTGTTACTACTAGTAAGGCACTTGTTACTAGAAGCGATGCACTTGTTCCTAGTAGCAAACATTGTTACTACTGTGGGGACGAAAGAAGGATGTTGCAGGGGCAAAGTCTTTCTTGTCGTGGTGGTGGCTCCGGTGTTTCTTGCACAAAAATAACATCTATCCAAAACATTCCAAAACCACTTTGGTTCAGGAGACAAAGGATTCTTTTAAACATATTTTGATGTTTTTCTTCGGTTTTGCTTGACACTTGCACGTTGCCTGCAGGTGGTGCTCATGGCTGACACCAACGCCTGGAGCTGGATCTCCAATGTGCCCTGGAGATAGAGTCCCTGATCAAAAGAAGGCTCTGAGGCCAGAATATCGCAATGCAGTAGCAGGGTTTGGAGAAAGGATGGAAGTGTGTTGGGTCATTGGGCAGGTGTGAGGGTTGAGGGGTCAGCCTAACCAAAATAGTGGTACCCGGAAGAACGAATATCTCCAGTAAATCGGAAAAATGGCGTGACCTGATGCTCTGACCCCCATGTCTCTTGAGGAATTCATATGGCGGCAGCAGCTTGGACTCCCAGGCCAGAGTCGTGGGGGCTCCGGGCTCATACGCTGCGAGGGGCAGATCCATCAGTGTCAGTTGGGACGAGAATCTTCTTATAACTTATAAATTATGCATCCAAAGCTTCAGATGGTGAAGGAAGGAGGCTTGATATGAGCAAATGTGAAGATGGGTCATGGACTAGGCAAGCATCCCTGCGACGCCAGGTTCCTTGGTGAGCACACGACTCATGCAGACTTGCTGTTCCTTGGATCAGTTGGATGCCTGATGCCTCTCAGATGCTTGTGACTGGTAGCCCTGAAGGCTATCTAGCATTTCTTCACGTCTCAGGTTTGGATGCCGACTTCCCCCCGGCCTTTACCTTCGACCGGATCATGGCCGCTTGAAACAAGCTCAGATGTGGTGATGTTTTTGGGAGGTCCATTCAAGGAAGCCGAAGTTGCAGCAGATTCAACCGCAGTGGTTTTAACAGTAGTGACTCAGTTAATTATCACAGTCAACTGGTGAAGGCCATCCCTGGCCATCTTTGGAAGTTCGGCACATTTTTCGAGGAGCATGGGGGTTCGGAGTTCGGGGTTCGATCCAAAAGCGAGTTGTTTTAGGGATCCTTCCAACCTTTTCGGGACACATCCGACATGTTTGGCAGATGTCACTCCCTGGCCTCACAATTGAAATGCAATGGCTGCAGTGCAGGTTGCTCCATGTTGTAGGAAACATAGGTGTTCCGTTGGGGGGGAGGATTCGGCGATCAACGTCGGCGCTCGGTGCAAGGCGAACTTCGGGGATGACATCCAATCGACTGCCTTGTACATGGGCGACCTGCCCAACTGGACACATCAAGTCAAAGGATGCTTGGACTGACGTCACGGGATGGGGAGCTGGCAAGGAGGGGGGCTGCTCAAAATCAGATCAGGACATATCGACACATTGTGAAACTGAGGGTGCGAAATATCAGCATGGACATGTCACGTGTGCAGTTCAACCCGCCATCGAACCGATGGCTCAAGTCATCAGGCCATTCAGGACGAGAAGAAAACTCGGGCATGGGAGGACTTCTAAGGCGCATCTGGATACATATGGGAGTTGATCGAAAACCCCGTGTAAGGAGTTTTATATAAAACAGCCTTTCAGATGTTGTTGGAACCATCCGCGAAAGATTCGCGATGAGGTTCGCGAAAGTATCTTTTTTTTCCGCGAAAGATTTATCGAAGGTCATCGCTTTCATTGTTTTCCTTTCTACCGGACTGACAAAGAATAGAAACGCAAGGCAATCCTCCGGCAGAGCCAGTGGGCGGAAGTGTCCCCATATGTCACAGACTAACGAACTGAAGCCTCAACATTTCCGTGCCGAGCCCTGGCAGTGCGTAAAGGATTCTCCGATTCCTGTCCCCACTGTCACAGGCTAGCAATCTGGGTAGGCACAGCCCTGACAGTGAGGCAACGACCTGCAGCTGCTCTGACGGGCTGCGCAGATGTTTGCAAATGTTACGGCTTCCCGGGGAAAGCGCCAGTGAAATTTCGCGAAAGATCCGCGAAAGTTTGGCGAATGTGCCGCTAAAGTCTAGGTTCCCAGCTTGGGGCCCCCCAACATTCCCCAAGCTGTATCACCCTGTGTTGGTAGCTGGCGCGAGGATTGGGTTGAGTTGTGCCTGACTCTATTTGCCACAATTGCTGCAAGTGACCCTGAGTAGCTGTGGAAACGTTCAACCATCTACTGGGGTCATGCTGCAAGATGTCTCTACCTATTTTGTGATACTATGACATGTTCCGGCTCATGTTGGCTAGACATGGTTGTAGGACCATGCTTCGCGATGAGGCCGCGAAAGATCCGCGAAAGATATCTCTTTATCCGCGATGAATGGCCATTCCAGGATGAAAGAATATTGATCAACCACCATATATGAGGATGTTCAATGATCCAGCAAATCCTGACCCCGATATTGCGTATCAAAAACGTTGGAGTAATGAGTCCTTTCCACGCCATCCGCTTTGGACGGAACAAGATCGAGAGAGGCTACAGCGCTAAATGTGGAAGATGGGGTGTGTGGACGCCCTCGATTACCAGAGCTGGTTATGCCTCCAACGAGATCTATGGCATTTTGCTCATAACCGAGCCAGGGCTCCAACTCCTGTGTCAAGACTCCGAAGTGCACGCGCTATAATAAGAATCTTCCAATATGGTGGTTGATCAATTGCGTGGAGTAGTAGATGAGCCGGCCAGCTTGATGAAGGTGATGCTACCGGGCACATATTTATGATCCAGCAACTCTGTCGGGAGCGGACTGACCTTCTGCTGTTCAAAGTTCCGGCTCCGTGCCAGTGAACTTCTTGATGAAGTTCTGCGTCCAGTGCGAGCCGTGGCAGGTGTTGTTACGGCCGGTAGGGCTCGTCAGTCATCTCCTCATTCACATCCTGGCACACCACTACTCCGCAAACAGACGAAGACCAGGATCCTTTTATTCGGCGTAAAGCCATCATGGAATTTACCTACGGCAATGGCAGGCGGAAACAGAAGATTAGGTGAAGATGAACCTTTACCCGGACCAGCAGGACTTCACTTTGTCGGTGACAAGAGGATAGGCCTGTGTGCCGCAAGGCCGTTTCTGAGGCGTTTGGGAGATCCGCTTTCGACGGACCACTGCCAGAGAATGCTACAAACTCTCTACATTGTTTGACCCCTGCAAGACTCAAGGTGTGTGAAACTGAGGGTGCGAAAGGCCATGAGGCCTAATCATACCGGCAGAAATGTGTCACGTGTGCAGTTTGACCCGCCGTCGAACCGATGGCTCAAGTCATCATGCAAAGCAAACACTGCAGTTTTGGCAGTGTTTACTTAGTTCGTGTTAGTTGCCGCTTTTGCAACATTGTTCAACTGAGGGAGTGGGTTTTTTTTTACAACTCGTCGGCGCGGGGTGCTTCGGGAAGCAGCTGAGTTTTTTGAGGGATCTGAGGCGCGCCACGGCGCGGAATTCGGTTCGCATGTCACAAGTCTCCTGTTCAAACAGCCGAGGCACGAAGATTGGGGCCTTCCACCGGCCGGTCTTTGCTCGACTCGAGCGGCGGGCACTGGAGAGTTGGGCTTCCCAGAAATTGAAAAGGCGTGCGGCGGGGCTTGACTTCTATGCTGACAGCAACCTGTGCTACTGTTTGAAGATTGTCCACTTTCTTGACGGATGGGGAAATTGTAGATGAGGCTGAGGTTCCCATAGATTCCCTACTCCCCGGCCCCAAGATGCCCAGGCTCTCCGTCTGGCGTGTGGATTGCCATGATCTTGCTGTTGATCAGTACGATCATCCTGGTGACCTGCCTTGATGTTAATCCATGGTCTGCTTGAATGAACTGTCAACGTTTTCCGATTGCAAAAGTTGCATCCATCAGTGCCCAAGAGTTTGAATGAGTCAAAGATGTCAGTTGGCAGGAGAGTTGAGTTCGCGTTTCGATAAACTTGGACCTAGACATTTTTTGAATCTTGACGTGAGTGTCGGTTGGTTGTTGCTTTTCAGATAATCCCTTTGCCTTGAACGTTTTCCTGATGTTTCAATTCCTGAGCTCATGTGGCTGAGGCAGTGATCCTACTGGCGGTTGTGCTGAAGAAGGTTTGCAAGCGCTGGGATGCCCAGGTACCATATAGGGCTTTGCAAGCCATGGGTTGGTCAACAGGTTGCAGGCAGAGTCATAGATACTATCCACACGCAGGTTCCCAGCTGTTTCTTCATCACCTCCACATGAGGTAGTGCAGGTAATGTGAGCCACAGCTTTGACTCCGGTGGTTCAAGGGTCTGCTCAAACTTAACATGGACCAGATCTTGACCATACTGGGATCAAACCTTGGCATAGCTATCGCGTTTGGAACCAAGGAGTTGAATATTTGGACTCTTCAACTTCCTCTTCAGGGGAGGAGGACGAACACAGCTCCTAGAGGTGCGAGATGTGTGCGTGGAGACTTTGACGCAAAGAACGGTTCCAGCGAGAGACGCGAGCGATGCCTATGTTGGATCTCAAACTCAGAACGATACAGACTTTGAGAGGACAGTCCCAACCGGCCCTTTGCATGGAACTGTTCAGAATGCTGTTGTAGTTTGTGCATTTGGGGCTGTGCGCAAAGATGTTTGCTGATGGGTTGTACTTTGGCTTGACCTGGATGCATTTGCTGTCAGGATGCTGAGCGTTTCACCAACCTAGACTCAAAGGGAGGTCTTTCAGCCGAGCCAACTCAGCGCTGGACTCCATAGATATCCATAGAACAAATGCAAAGGGGGAAGAACGTTCTAGTTGAGAATCAGATGAAGATATCCAGTATATTCCAGTATATAACATGCCTTGTGAGTGTGTTTATTCCGGGGACTGGGAGAGTTTTGTTTCTTCAAAGCTTTAGATGGACCTGTCAGACCAGTCGAATCTGACAGATGAGACCAATCGAGAGAGCGCCTGCACTTGCGACGTGAGACACGTGCTTCCTCGAGACTTGGGTGTCACAAGTGTATGTCAAAACTTTGCTTTACTGGTTTGGATGTGACATGGGACTCTGTACGCACCATATCTCCAAAACGTTCCTTTTCAACCGGCTCAAAGACCTTGAAGTTGATATTTGTCATTGTATACTGTACCAATGTTTGGAAATGGTTGAACAAGAGCAACACGCTGGGATTCCACGCAAAAGTACACGCCGACACCCAATGTTCCTCCAATCAGTGCCAAGACTTAAAGGATTGGCGCCAAGCTGCTAGGAGCTTCACAAGCAGAGTAACATTGATGTGGGTTTGAACAGACTGGCCCAACCAAAGAACAGGAAGAGTATGCCTGTGTGGCAACCAGGACATACTGTAGAATCCAAAGCTGCAGAGTGAGCGTCTGGCAGCTTTGTTTCGGGCATTGCAGCACAAAGGATGCTGGAGGGTCCTTCTTTGAAAAGGTCTGCTGAGAAGGTGAGGGTTGCAGCCGAGACCAAGAGCATGCTCTGCCACAAACCAAGCTGACAGACCACCCAGAAGAGATCATCTTCCAAAGCTGGCAGAAAAGGGTAGCCATCCAAGAAATCCATGTCCGAGGCCATCGCTATTTTAAGTTGGAGTCCATCACTAGTAGGTTGGAAGCCATCGCTAGTAGGTTGAAGGCCACCGCTTGAAGGTCATTGCTCTTAGGTTGGAGGCCATGTGGTTTTAACTTAGCATGTGCTTGTGCTCCCAGGTGATGGAGCTGTGTGAACATGGCTCAGTGAGTGACGTGCTCAGGCCGGGTCTTCAGCAACTGAATTTCGAACTGAAAGGTGATATCGGGGTTTCGACATCAAGGAGGGCTCTTTGAGCCAAGTCGATTCACCAACTGTGGAACAAAAACATGAAAAAACATATGAAACAATATGCCGCATGCCCTTCGAAGCACATGGGTTCTGCGATAGGGGTTCAAAGAGAAAGTATCTGAGTCTAGATCTTGCAAGAAAGCTCCCGCCAACTCTGCTCCAAGCCGCCTTCACAATTTGCCCCGTACTGCAGGAAGCTCCAAGGACCATTGAAAGAGCAGGAGATTCGGATCATTGCTAGAGAGGCACTTGCTTTGGTTTCCTGTCAGTGCTGAGTCAGAGGTCAGGAGAAATGCCGCGCTCACTTGTCCTAAGACGTTGTTCAGCGCAGTAAGAAGAGCAGTATATGTGGACATTCCTCGCTTATCGTTCACAAGACTGCTTGCACGGATTCATTGTGCGTAACGTCGAGTGGTCCTGCGGCCGGGTAGTTTTCCTGCGGCCGGGTTCAAGCCTTTGTTGCGTACGGTCGCCGGGCTGCGTCCATGTAGATGTGGAATCTACATCTATGTCAGCCGAGGTGGGGGGGGGAGTTGGGATCCATCCACACGGCCCTCCCCCACAATCTTCCTGCGAAGCCTCGAGTCCAAGAGGCTTCCAAATTGATGAGGTGAAACCACCCACTGTGAAGGCTTCACGTCGTTTCTGAATCTGGCGGCCGGAGAAACACCTTCATACGTTCGACATCAATGGAGTTGTTCCTCATGCAAGTTGCAGCAATGGTTCCACCAGCTTGGAATCTTTGACAGATCTAGTATGGGAGATGGTCATGCATTAGCCGATTCAGAAACCAACCGATCAGGCAACTACGATTCAGAAACCAAAACAGCCGATTCAGAAACTACATTCAGAAACCAACATGGCCGATTCAGCAACTACGATTCAGAAACAAAAACAGTTCGATTCAGAAACCAAATGGTCCGATTCAGGAACTAAATGAGCCGATTCAGAAACCAAACGGGCCGATTCAGAAACCAAGCGAGTCCCGATTCAGAAACCAAAACAGCCGATTCAGAAACCAAAACAGCCGATTCAGAAACCAAGTCGGCCGATTCGGAAACCAAACCAGGCGATTCAGCAACTACGATTCAGAAACCAAAAGAGCCGATTCAGCAACCAAAAGCGGCGATTCAGAAACCAAAACAGCCGATTCAGAAACCAAAACGGCCGATTCAGAAACCAAAACAGTCGATTCAGAAACCAAGTTACACGGTTCAGAAACTAAGCCAAGATAATAGCGCTCCATGTGGATGCAAAGGGCCTTTACATTCATTCAAGTAAGAATTAGTGGCGGACGGCAGGAGGAGTGTGGGGTGGGGGGGGTGGGGGGGAATCATTGCCAAGATAATACCGTTTCTCCTGTTGCTTCGCGGAGAGATTTTGCATCGGTGGCACTACCACCACCTACTACTACTACTACTGCTGCTACTACTACTACTACTACACTACAACACTACTACACTATTACACTACTAGACTACAACAACAACAACAACTACTACTACTACACTACAACACTACTACACTACTACGCTACTACACTACTACACTACTAGACTACTACACTACTACTCTACTACTCTACCACTCTACTACTCTACTACTCTACTACTCTACTACTCTACTACTCTAC